TATATATATATATATATTTCTATCTATCTATATACTTACATTTCTATCTTTGTCATCATCTTCTACTTCCTTTAAACGTGCTGCATAATCGTCCTCCTTTTGGACTTTGGATTGAGCTAACATTACGCATCCATTAATTGTTGAAGAACATGCCGTTAAACACCGTTTTCACTTCCGTTTCCTAACCGTTTCCTTCCGTTTTGACACTGATTTTGTTGTGTTACACATCGCCTTTCAATCACACATATCCCCGTACTGCGTACTGAATTTCAATCGTCACGATAGCCTCACCTCCAACCTTTCTTTCTCTCTTTCTCTTTTTTATCTATAATGTTTTGTGTTATCTTGTTAATCTTCTCTATCTGCTTCTTGCGCTTCTCGTTATAACGATCAAGCACACCGTGTTATTCACAATGATTTACATATTTGAATAATGCATTCACAGAAATGAAGAGCCCCTGATTTGAAATCATATTTGAGATGACACAAATTTATTGAATTATCAACGTGATAAAAATATAAGAGATAATTAATGAACGAATGGTTCTCATAAAATAAAGGATATCGCAAGGTGCAATGAATTTCTCCTCTCTTAGATTTCGCAGATATTTTCTTCTCTATTTACCTATCATACTCTCGAATTCAAAATAATGTGATGCAAATGCGCGCAATGGAAAATACGGTCGCTTTTCTGTTTCCTCGTCGTCTATAATAATAGCAAATTCACGTGAATTTATGCCCGTCTCGAGAAGAGCTTCATAAAGCTCGGCAGATTAGTCGAGAAAGTTCGGTGAATATATACATGCCATTCGACCGTTCACTCTCCTCTCCGTTTCTGCCTTAAACCTTCGCTCTCTTGCGCTCTCCCTCTCTCTCTCTCTCTCTCTCTCGTTTTTCTTTCGCTATCGCTATCTTTCGCTTCGCTCGTTCTGGGATTTAGCCGGCGAATTTCCGCATTGCATTCGTTATGGCGTTCACGACACGGTTTTACGACTTTGAAACCACCCCCTCCTATCACTCTTCTGCCTCTCAGCAATACCTAAAACAGCTGCCGTGTCCCCGTCTCTCGTTTGAGTTCGCTCGTTTGACTTGAGTTCGGTTTATTTGCGCGCTTTACGATGCAGCGTGAGATATCTCGCTCTTGTACGTGTACGTGTGAGTGTGTGTGCGCGCGCGTGGAATGCTATTGTGTGGGATGTATGTGCCGCTTGCCTCGTTCTCTTAACAACGTCCAGCGAACGAACATTGGACACTCCGCTAACAATGCTTTCGGTTTTACGAGCGCAACCGACTGCTGCGCCTGAACCTGCCCACTCCAATACACCCGCAAGATTTCTCTCTGCTCGATGGTAGCATACCGAATGATCTCGGACATCTCTGAACAGTCCGAATAATAGTAACATCCTTAAACTCTGAGCAAAAATTGTATTGTAACTATGAAAGATGTGTTACACATATTTTATTGATAAAATGAAATTATGAAGAAATTAAATTTTTCTATATTTTATACGTATGTGTGTGAAAGTAATACAAGAAGTTTAGCAGCGATTTAGAATTTGAATGAATAATTATTTTAATAAGAAGTAGAGATTTTTTTTAATGTTATATTTCAAGACATGTTTCTAAAAAATAATTAAGATAAAATAAGAAAAGTCCTTTAAATTATAAAATAGTAAAAATAGTAAAAATATATTGTTAATATCAACTTCGCTAAACTGTTTTATACATGTATATATAATATTACATATATATATAAAATTTTTTTATACGGAAAGTATAAATTTTCAATTCCAGTCACTTTCTTCAAAGATTATACACTTGATACATTTTTAATTTAACCATCGTGCTGAGCTAAGCAAAGTAGAGTTGCAAAAAAATTTTTAAAGGGAAAAACTCTAAAAGGATCAGGTCAAAAATTTCCTTTTTTGCTCACTATTCCTTTTGCGAGAATAAAACATAATTGTTAAAAAATATTTTTTTTATTGTGATAATGAAAGTTACTATAAAAGTAAAAGTACATGTAGTATAAATGTAGTATAACGTGCAATTTATATTCATAGTTTTGCACGTACAATCGCTTGAAAATTTATAAATAGAAACATCTGGTGATTATTCGATCGAGAGATAGTAAAGTCAGATCATTGTCTGTCATAACACCTGCCTGAAAGCCGCTTAAGTTTCTTAATTTCTTATCCGATCGACACGATATCAACGAAAAATCGATATGCCGTAATTCGAATAACACGCGCCCCGTCACTGTCGAAAGTCGCGTTTAATTAACTAATCGCAATCGACAAGATTCTCGACAATTTCCGGTCACCTCCGAGCCTGGCTTTCAGCAGACGACGTATGCCACCCACGTAGAATTCTACCCCCGGTCGGCTCTTCGTGTCTCTCTTCCGAGGCTCTCCGTGCGAAATCCGGAGCAAAAGAGACTTTCAGTCGCTCCGGTGGAGGCGCCCAAAAGCTCGAACAGCCCGGGAAGGTATATCCGATCGATAGAACGCACCGAGTTTCCGTGAGATAATGAGGGAAGGCCACGAAGCATCGATCAACCGTTTGCCGGCCCCTTTCGAAACGTGGTTCTATCGGCATCTTGCTCTCCACACTTGACCCAAGTCAATCGTTCATTCCTGTGTGCATTCCAACGTGCACATAAAGTCTCATCTCGATGGACACGATCTAAACTCGCAACAATTCCTGAATCGAACCAAAGCTAGATACCGATCTCGTCGGTTCTCGCACTATCGCACTACGAAACCAAAACCGATAATCATCGTGAATATAATACCGGAGAGATTAGGAAACAACGGTCAACGCCTCGTGAATGCGAATTCATTCATGTTTCCTCTTTGCAAACTTTGCGGTTTGTTAAAAGTTAACCCTTTATGATGAACTATTTTCTCGCAAACGAGTAAAGATCAAGTATTTCGACTTTAATTTCATCTAATTGGCTAACATGAATTATAGAATTTTTTTTACTTATAAGAGGAAGACTAGTTAAAAATTTGAAATGCGAGATTTATTGCAAAGGACAATTCTTTGTGTTTATATTAAACTTCCCAAAACCTACACTACGAAAAAATTCGAATGTTTGAAGAATTTTACCACGTATTATGTCAAGTCTGACTTGAATTGCAAATAGTTAGTATTAGCTAGCTTTGTTTCTCCTTTGAATCGCGTAGAAATCAGGAGGAAGATCTGGTTAGGATAAAAATACCAATCGATAAATGTTGAACCATGCGAAAGATCGAGCACTACGAATGATTTGATATCACTCGTTTCAGATTTCTGCGGGAGAGTTTACGCAACACAGGCGAGAACTCCGCAGACACATTCTATTGTCAAGCTATCCGTTACCTTCGACGTTAGATATCTTCCTGGTCTCGTTTCTGAGATGAAGAAAGATAGAAAACGACTGTAACGAGTTCAGGTCATGGAACAAAAAGGGAACTACAGGAGGTTTTCACGCGAAGCCATTTTTCACCTTTTCAGGTGAACCAGCTGCGACATCTTCGCTTTCTTATACATATTTTCCATTCTCGAGTTTCCTAGTGTAAAACCTTGCGATTCTTCACCTCATTTCCGCAAACTCCTACGACAATCGATAAAAAGTCATCGCGTCCAGAATAAATTCAGAATTTGTAATTTTAAATTCATCGAATAGACAAAATTAATTCTCCAAAAGACGTAATATCGATATCTTTATATATCTTTTTTCTTAATAAATAATTTTCTTGTTAAGACATATTTCTTTTCCTCTCTTTTCAATTCTATCGTATCTCTATACTATTATTTTGATCAAAATCAAAATATCTAATAATACAACCGTTATTACCGATGGTAACATTTATTAAAATATTTAAGAAGACAAAATAATTTTTGGTTACGTTATAACCGAACATTTGATTGACATTATTTCAATATTATTTGATAATTAGATTTTTTCCTTATGAAGTGATTCTCATCGCCGCGGTATCGCGCGTTCTGGTCGAAGGAAGGGTCCTCTTCTATATTACTTTATTTTTACACTCCACCGAAGCTTTTAATAAGCAAACTACTCAACCAAGATATTTCCCCGGCCTGTCTTTATCCCGCGACAGTCGCGCCCTTCGATG